GTCGTCATCGTCGCAGTCATCATCGTCGTTGCCGCCGTTGTTGCCGTCATCGTCGTTCTCGTCGCTGGTGCCATTACTGTTGTCGACGCCGTCATCGCTCTCATCGTTTTTTTCTGTATTACCGCTGTCATCAACATTTTGGTTACAGCCATTGACATCATCGTCATTGTCATTGTGGTTATCAAGGTCTTTGTGCTTGTTATCATTGCTACTGGCATAATTAGCCTGCATCGCTTGCTCCTTTATTAATGCATATGTGCTAAGAAGTAATATTGCTTCTATACCAAACTACTCGCAGTATCCTTCAGGCAGGATGGCGGGTAACAAAACAACAGGTAGTGTCTTGCAATTTAGACCGATTGAGGTGTCTCAACAACTACAAGACGGAGAAAAATTCATCAAATGGGATGAGGTATGAGTTGCAAGACAAATCATAGTACAATATTGTAGATTGTATAATTAAATTGTAATATTCAAGCTATGTTATTATATGTATGATATTAATTTTATTTATATTTTTATATAGGATTCTGGTATAGTAACTCCAGTAACATTGAAGGTAGACAAGTTTGGATTCTATTTGCATTGGGTGGATCAACATAATGAGATGGATATGTTGGATATTGCTGTAATAAGAGATACAAGAACTGGGAAACACGCAAAAGTACCGAAGGTATTACATTGTTCTTTCTTTATTCTTTTTCTTTGGTAATTTATGTATTTTAGTTCCTTATCCTTTAATTTAGATAAGTCAATTTATGGTTGATTACATAACGGACAAGAGTAAAATTAGTTAAATGTTTCATTAGATCTATATATTAGTATGCATTAGGTATAAATATTTGGAAATGAAGCTGTCTTGACTTTCTATAATTATATCATGTTTTTGCGTGGTTGCTAATGACGCACAGCACCACCACATGATAATTATTGACAAATCTATAAATAGAATGTTACCTACTTTATGTCCTCAATGTAGTTCATTTTTTTCAGTCACACCTATCTTTGTACACAATGGACATATTCTTAGTTATGTAGGAAACAGAGCCGTTCTTATCTGTTTCATTTTCCTATAAATCAATAAACATTTTCTAAAGTGATATTGTTCGCAGTTTCAGTTAATGTTAGTAGCTTATTGTAATAGAAACTGCTATTATTATTATAATGTGCATAAGCTAATTCCATCAGAATAAATCTTGTTAGGACCATTGCATTGAAATCTTAGATATGTATTTTATCAACATGCTTAGACAAGCAAATGATTTTCAGGATGCCAAATTAAAGCATCTTGTGACAATGGGTTCTCAAGATTCTTTAGAGGAAAAGACAGTAACAATTTGCTATGGATCTGACTTTGTCAATATGAATTTTATTAACTTCTGTACAACACGAGCAGAAGTTGCACAACATTGGACAGAGCAAATTTTTCAGCTCGCGTATAATTTATCTCTATTAAATATCAGCACAACTATGTTTTTACAAAAAGCACACACTAAACTTACACTTGGAGCTGATAAGTCAGAAAAGATTCCTGTAAAGAAGTGAGCACAATTTTCACATATGTATTAAATTTGATATATAGTACATATAATAAATATATAATACGTATAAATGTTATAAGATATATATATATTTTATATATTGTTATTTCAGCATAATAAGAATGTTTACGCAAAACAAAGAAGATCGTAAACGCGTCGAGAAAGCGCTTGATATTTCCGGTTTTCCATCTGGGAAAGTGAGTATTTATACATATTTTATACATTTTATACATTTAATATGAATATGGTTTCCCTGACATTAAAAATTATATTCCGTTTGTTCTTAGAATGACGTAATATCATTACAAAAATTTCAATTTGAAGATTTTTTCAACTTTTATAAATCTCTTACTCAACGATCGGATGTTGAAAAAGTTTTCGAACGCATCGTAGGCAATAATAAGCGTAGGCTAATGTCCATCACCCAATTTGTTGATTTTTTGAATAAAACTCAAAGAGATCCGCGTTTAAACGAGATATTGTATCCTTATGCAAATGAGGCAAGAGCAAAGGACATTATAAGTCAATATGAACCAAATAAATGTAATGCCAACCGGGGTCAACTAAGTTTCGATGGATTTTTGAGGTATTTAATGAGCGAAGATAACCCAATCGTAGCTTTATCGAAACTTGAATTATCGGACGATATGGACCAGCCGCTTGCGCATTACTTTATAAATTCTAGTCACAATACATACTTAACAGGTACGTCACGTTTGTTACTTTTATTCATAATCGATCAGGCTTTGAATAACGCCTTAAATATCGATTTAAATATATTAGTTCTTATATTTTTTTTAATATTTTTAGGACATCAACTTACCGGAAAAAGTTCCGTTGAAATATATCGTCAGTGTCTGCTTGCTGGTTGTAGATGTGTAGAATTGGACTTTTGGAACGGAAA